GGGGAGAGGGGGAGAGGGGAGAGGGGAGAGGCATTTTGATCAAACACAACCTTACTCAAGCACATAGATCCCTCGCCAGGGCTAGAACCCTGGTCTTCCCATCCATAGTTCAGGGGGTGCTAACCAAAGCACCGCTACCAATAATCCAACAAAGATTCCAAATGAAACGAAAAAAACCGGTAATTTGAACAGTTTTCAGGTCATCACTAACCTGGGCCAGGAGACCAAAGAACTTCTCATAAGATCTTTGTTGAGAACAACAATCTATGACCATTGTACAGAACTCAGACTGTGGAAGAGATAATATCAACTTTATGAACTAGAACACCATTAAAATTCTGAAGTATGAGATAAAAAGCCTTTTAAGGGATGAGTTGATACCAGCAAAAAAGAAAAGGAAGATAATAGTAAATATTAATCACAATAATAATATCATATTATTTTCAAAAATAATAATAAGTAATGGTTAAAGGACCCAGGAGTCCAACGTGGTCTGTAATCATACAAGTGATAAACAAAATCGGACCAACATGCAGCGGGATTCCAATTTGTTTATCACGAGTACGACTACAGACCAAACTGGACAACACAAAGTCTCATTACCAATTAATCATAAAAATTACATTTTGCCAGAAAAGAAGAATAGCTGTGTTAAGAATAGCCAAGTTATGAAAGAAAGAGAAAATTTGCATTAAAAGAAACAGAGATTGTGATTGGTTGATTTAAACTACAACTTTGAATGTGATTGGTTGATTTAAACAACAACTTTGATTACAAATGGCTTACTGAACTGTCTGATAACAAACTGTCCAATAACAAACTGTCTGAAAACAAACTGCCTGATAAAAACTTTGGCAAGTGAATTAGTGGAAAACAGGAGTTATTTAAATGAATCACAATCAAGGAATTTGTAATTTTATGATTATAATAATAATAAAAATAACAATAATGAAACAGGGCAAGGGATGCACAGAGCATCATATTAATAGATCACATTAATCACATGACTGTACAATAATGTAGTTAAAAAAAAAGATTCTGCTCGAAGGCTTGCAGCATTCCTCCAAGCTTTCAATAACTTACCATTTGTTCTGGTTTGATTTGCATCTTCAGCAGTTTGTGAGCACATTCCTCATAGTCCAAACTACAATCACCCAAATAAAAAACACCAATTAGACATAAAAAAAAAAGAAGATAAAGAATTGCAATACTGTTATCACAAATCAAATGACACTTGATGGTCTCCATTTTGTGACAACATTAAGAATTCATTACTTGGTAGATCCAAAAGATCACTTATTCTAAAAAAAAAGTGATTGCCTTAAAATGGAAGACAGGTATCCAACATACACATCCCCATTGTTTTGTATGCAAGAATTAAATCATTTCTTCCAAACTGCAGATCAAGATCCATTAAAATTTATTTAATGAGTGTTTTAATTCCTGATTCTAAGTCATTGATTCTCTCTATCCCCGATTCTTAATCCTCAACCCTTGATTTTTCAATCCTTAATTCTTGATCCTTTTAATTGCAATTCTCAAGCCTTGATTCATGATTCATGATCCTCAACTCCTGATTAGTTCAAGGGTCAAAGGATCAAGTTTTGAGTCAAGTTTGTAACTTTACTTTTAAGCACTACCATACCTTGTAATTAAGGAATGATGTTTGCCTTCATGAAAGTTTAATTTTAAAGTGAGGTCAAACAAGGATACAGTACCTGGACTGAATGGTAAGGTATATTGTTCTTCTTAAAGCTACAAGATTTGTTTCAGTGTGATCTATAATCTCCATTTTTTTGTCATCTACCAAGAAACAAGAAAACAACATAAATTGTATTACTGTCAGAGAGAGAATCATAGCTTATCATTTTTCACTTCTGTTTTCCTATGTCGTGACACGAAGCATATGCATGATACAGTCAGTTTGGTTTTGGTTTGAAGACATTACAATGTTCATCATAAAGTTCTCCACAGACAAGCTGGAACTTCCCTTTTCAGAGTTAACAAAACCAAGTTGGACTATACCTTGGCCTTCGCCTTCGTCATCATCATCATCATCATCATCATCATCATCATCGTCATCACCATCAGAAGAATCATCTGAGTCTCCTTCTCCAAGAATATCTAAATAATTAAAATTTAAATAATATAAAGTCAGTTGCAACATAAAATTTATAAGAATGTTATAAATATGATAATTTCTTTAACTTACAACTGCTCAAAAAAATTAACCCACCTCTTCTGATTTCTTTGTATTTCTCTTCATTTTCCAAGAAATTTGGATCAAATTTGAAGACATCTAATTAAAAGACATGTAGAATTCAATAGATTTTACATGACTGTCAAAAATACAATGTTCTGAAAAAAAAAACTGGTTCATTAAATTTCAACGAACAGAAGACTTACTTAAAATGTCCTCTGGATTTGATGCTTCCTCCAACCGCAATAAATGAGTGATTTGGTCTTCTTCTTCAACAAGGTCAAGTTCTTCAGGTACTGCAACATGATCCTATAGAAAGAACCCAACATTTAAAATTGTTTTAATCAATTCATATATTTTGAATGTTGAATCAATACTTACAATGACTTAAAAATTCTCACTAAGACAATTTTCCAGGATCTAAATTTTTTTCTGGATCTCAGTTTTTAAAAACTTGTTTTATTAATCTTAATTTCCTTCTGTTCTTAATCAACAAGACAAACAGTACAACAAATCAAAGCCTTAAGCTATGAAGAAAAAATTTGAACCACGATACATCTTTCATAGTGTACCATATAAGCCTACCTTAAAACCATCCTTTCTGATTGCAAACATCACTTCAATCATGTACTGAACTCGCTTGTCAATTTCTGTATTGTGGAGAATGTTGCGAAGCCTCTCAAACACAGCTGTAAGTCAAATGAAATGAAAATTAGCACATATCCACTAAAAAAAGTGGCCATATGTTTTGGAAGATCTTTTGTGCTGATCAAAAGCTGTTTGGGGTGGTCACAGAGTATTAAAAGCTCAAAAGGTTAACCAGATCTTAATGTACCCAAGGCATATATTAATTATCTTCAGTGGATCAGTTGCAAATGTTGAAGGGGGTATATCTAATGAAACTGCAGAGCTGTGTCAGTAGAGGTTATTTCAAAATAATTTTGGTTTAATCAACTGAGTTGATGATATAAAATTGGCCACTATGGAGAGTTTTACTTTAAAAAGCTGGTGTTTTGAGCACTAGCCCTTTGTCAAAGAGAAACTTACCATGAACACCTCTGGAAGATACTTCAGTTAATTTCATTCCAACTTCTTTCAAGAACCCAATCTAGACAACACCAAATTAAAAACACAATTATATTAGCTAGTATTTAATTTCACAAGATGTGGAAGAAACTAATCAAAGATAAATACTCACTGCAACTTCAACACTATCATCTGTGGGTTTGTGTAGCAGCAGAGTCAGGATCTCCAATGCTACAAGCTCGTGGGCCTAGAAAAGAAAGGGTTACACTTGTCTTATTTAAAAAAGATGAACAAATTAACATGATGATAAATCACTTCTAAGAAGACCCTGTACCTTATAGAGAAATATCCCATACAGAATTCAATCCACATGATTATCATTTGCTGATAAAAACTTTCATTATTGAACTGCATTAAGTAGGGTACAAATAATGCACAAATCAAGTACAAATATTATGCAGTATTTGAACAGTTTGTAACTTTGTGCTCTAAAAAAAACATTTTAACCCTTCAGCTATACATGCTATGCCTCTCTATCTACTTTGCTTTTCCTGTCTTAAAAGAAATGTGGGTAAAAATTAATAATTAAAAGCAATTTGCTGATAACTTCTCCGATATTTTGGTGTGTAAAATTATTGAGTATTTTTACTCGTTGTTTGTATTTTGACTCATCCTAAGGGCTCGTAGAAATATGGCACAACTCATAAAAATATCAAGCGGTATTTGTACTCGTCTATTGTAGTACCGGTTAAACAGGTTTTCTTGCATCGTGCAAGCAAAGAATTGGATTGTAGTTACGAAAAAAAAAACAAATGGTGGACAATGTGAATCATATTTCTGATGACAACGAGTCAGAATGGCTGGCAAATATAGATCCAAGTTCATTAGATGAATTGAGCGAAGAAAAACAGCTTGACGACCAGAAAATTTCTTCATTTAATGAAGAAATTAGAAACAGCAACACAACAACGTGCCAATTCCGTTCC